GTTTTTATAATATGTTTTTATAATTGATATCAACTTGATCAACATGTTTTAAAAACCATTTTTAAAAACCATAATTCAATTACATAGTATAATTCCAAGCTCTAATCATACAATATATTATGCCTAACTTATAAAAATAAAAAAAACCATTAAAATAAATAATCACCTTCATTTAAAAACAAAAAAAAAACATTTAACAGCAAAAAAACTCTGGCCTTTATAGTGCATAAAGTGCTGTTATTACAATTATGGTAATGGTTTCAATCAAGTATGTGTACAGACTTGTTCTTTGGGAATTTTTAATATAAGTTCCTACTTGAGAATCAAAAGTAGGTACTTTTTTCGCCTCTAAAATGGAAGAGTATATCCACTTAAATGAATCACCGGGATGTTATCTTATTATGCATCACAAAATATGCCATAAAGACAATGGGCTGTTATTCCTTGGCCTTGCATCCTCCCCACTAAACAAAGAATATAGTGATTACAAAATATTGATTCATTAACTCATATTGTTCACCTAAATAGTACTATATTATAATAAATCTCAACATATCTTTAATAATAAATTCAAATACGATGAAATTATCCAAAGCGACTAAATGNTATTTTATTATGCATCACAAAATATGCCATAAAGACAACGGGCTGTTATTCCTTGGCCTTGCATCCTCCCCACTAAACAAAGAATAGGGTGATTACAAAATATTGATTCATTAACTCATATTGTTCACCTAAATAGTACTATATTACTATAAATCTCAACATATCTTTAATAATAAATTCAAATACGATGAAATTATCCAAAGCGACTAAATGAGATAAACCTATATATATATTTGTTTTNATTATAACATTGTTTAAAATTAAAAAAAAAAAATCATCAGAATTACAATAAGCCCTGAACCTAAGGCATTGGTAAGTAATATCAAGGTAAATGGTTGCTGGTTGATACCAGCAACCACTATGATCATCATAATTTACTAAGATAATTTTTCATGCATATCCAACTAATTTAGTTAGCATTTGATTAAATAAAATCCAGAATGAGACAATTTTGTTTTCAACACAAAGGCACAGGCCTGTGACAAGTACTGATAAAATTAAACAGAGATCCACAAGTGGTTTAGAATGTTCAGATACTTTATTTTTCTGCAAATTATCATTACCTATGGTTTTTATCAATATGAATCCTTATGAGACACAATGGATAAAATAAAAAACAATATATATATTGATTTTAATAAAATACATACAATACTTAAGACTATATAAAAATAAGAGTTGAGCAATGGCAAAATATTTTAACATATTTGATGTAATATATTATAACAAATTATACTATTGATGATTTATTTTATCACATCCACCGGATTTGCACCACAGCAGTTTTAAAGTACCATTAAGGGCAAAAAATTAAAATCAATAATCCATATTTAAAAAAATATTATAGTATACACAAATTTACAAATATTAAGTATTCATAATATTTACACCATCTGTGCTTGAAAATATTATGACTAAAGAAAATATGAGCACACACAAATCATGGCATAAAAGTAACGATAATGAAATTAATAATAATAAAAAAAATTGTTTTTAATCTGACCAGAGATCCAATGAACATAGTTTTATGTTACATACAATAAATGTTGATAATTATGTGTGATTATATTTTTACAAAAAAAGAAAATGAATTGATTTTAATTATTAAATTGTTTTGCAAACCTAGTGCATATGATGTAGAAATCATTATTCAAATAATTATATTTAAGAAGAACACAAATTGTATAAAAAATTAAATATTACCTCAGTTATTTCCTTTCCCTCCTATCATTTTTTTTTTTCTATCAATATTCAGTCGTCAATTAAAATTACATCACTTGGAACGGAACCAGCCTTCAATCTTCTCTTTAGTTGCTCGTTTGCCGTCTTCCAATATTCTTTTTCAACAAGCAATTTTTTTTCATACAGCTTCAATGAATCACATTCTCTTTTGGCGGCCACCAGTATACTGTACTTGGAAGGGACACGTCTTTTAGTGTCCAGGTAACTACAACATTTGCTCAGTTCAATAAATGATTTTGCTATAATCGATCGACACAACCGTTCTTTGGCATTGTGTTCTTTTCTAAGTAGGG